TATATATATATATATATATATATATATATATATATATATATATATATATATATATATATATATATATATATATATATATATATATATATGTATATTCTCATGCATATTCGATTCTAATTAATTAATACAATAAACAACGATATATTCGATTCTATTTGCAATCTGACTGATAAATCATACTATTGAACGACATGCATATTCGATTCTACATGCGTTGGAAATGACTTTCAACCTGATAAATCATACTAAAATATACAATGTTGATCAAACTATTCTAATACAATATGTTTGATAGCCTGCGTGGCAGGCCCTCAGTTTTATAGGGGACTGATATATCAGTCGTGGCCCTCAGTTTTATAGGGGACTGATATATCAGTCGTCTTTATAAACTACTGTATGACGTTTGTGTGATGTTACTCTGAGTGTATATCCACACCGGGCAGGCTTGAAAAATATGCCTGGCCACGGCGGGATTCGAACCTACGACCTTTGGAATACAGACCAAGTGCGCTAATATTAACCCCAACTTTACTAAGAATTTATATACATCTCTATACAGTATGAGCGTTATGAACTTAGCCAGTGGTCTATAGACGATCTCTATACAGTATGAGCGTGGTCTAGAACTTAGCCTGTGGTCTATAGACGCGGTTCGAATTTCAAGGATAATTGGGATAAAAGGAACCGCGCAGCAGGACACCGCGGACACGAAGGCTACAGAGAAACAGAGCCACGAAAGATCGCGCTTCAGTCTCTCACATAGTGGTTAAATGGCTACCCACAAAAACTAGCAAAAAACAAGTCTCGACCAAAATGTCTCAGTCTTTGAGAGTTCGATACGTGTGTTTGATCTGATTTAAATTGTGTATTTTGATTGTCAGGATATTAACCCATTATAAGTACAAACTCAACTTGCCAAGCAGAGAGTATTGCCACTGAAATATATTCCCGGCAAATAGTTTTGTTCGCTTTGTAGGATATCACAATCTGTGGGCAGACCGCTCCTTCAACTTTCAAAATCAAATAAAAGTTTTTCAAAAGCTCAACCGTACTTCTTATGTGAATAGAAAAGATCACTTACTGTTATTGTTGAACAATTTTGTCCAGATATGAAGCTCGAAAGCGTCTTTTCCTTAAAAATGCCACTTTTTGCATTTCGAACTGTGTTTTCCCTATAGTTTTGACTGAAAACACAGCGACGGTACTGGCTGCTGGCATATTCATTTTTTTTTTAATATTTAATTTGCTTTTCATCGCGTGTAAATGGCGTCAGCTTCGCAAATCCGTGTGACGTCCTAAACACTGCATTTTTCACCGAGTGAACTCTCTTTATATCTTTACTCTTTGATTCTACTGGAGATCATGAATTTTACAGCGAGGATTCCAGGGTTTTTTTCGTATCATAAAAGTTGCTTATTGCACTTCCAATATGATGTCATATATAAAAACATATGTATCATTGGAAAATTATTCTCATACATAGCAGTTTCCTGTAAACGTCAATCTTAGGGTTTCTTTAATAATTTTGCTTGTACCAACGGCATTTACAAGATGATATAAAAAAGTATTGCAAAGTCACCTGTACCACCATGCTTACCTAATTTGTCTATCCCAAACGATACTGTACTTCCATTATTTATGATTTCAGTCTTTGAAACACTGTTAGAAACAGACATATTCTTGTCATCTCTCAGAATGCTCCAGACAATCCTGTATCCGATAATAACCCCGTTAGGGTCAGATGGTGAAGTCCAAGTTAGATCGAGTTCTGTTGATGAAATACGTTCCAGCTGAACGTTTCCAGGCTTACCAGGTGCTATGGAGAAACACAAAAAAACAATTACTTACTTAGTCTACTTGCACAAATAAAAGGGAAGTTGTTCAGGATATCTGCATTCATGTATTTCCAGCCCAATACAGTTTTTAAAGCAATCCTCTCAGAAGCATCTGGAGAAGAAATTGTGTGAACATTTCCAATAGAAAATTTAACTAACTATAACAAGAAAAAATACTTTGATTGAAACATACTCCGAGCACAAGCTTCTATTATTCGGAGTATGTTTCATGTTGCGATGAAACGTCGTGAACGTTTTTCACCTTTAAACTTATGGTAAAATTTAAGAACTAACAAGTTGTTGATTATATTATATTTTATTTCATTTGTACAATAAACTGTTTAAAGAAACAATACAAATATCTACAGCGGGCCAGAATAGGCACACAAAACCTAAATTCCTCAGCATTCGCCTAAAAGACATCGACCAAAACGTACAAGAGTTGGTTTTAATCATACAATTTTTGCAGCCATTGGCTGAATTACGTTTATATTTATAAATGTTTCAGATCAGCTAAAATTGTTTTGATGAAGTTAGAATTATTCAACAAATGCTTTCATTAAGCTAAAATTATTCTATTGTACAGTACATATTATAGATGCTTTTTACAAAACAAAATATTACGAAAATACTATTTACAAATACTATACGAATTCAGTGCATTATGGATTATATACAACTATTTGTAAAAAGATCAGTTTGATAAGGAAATTAGATAGGCTGTAGTGGAAGACAGGAACTGCATAGTGAGTTACGTAGAAAGAGATTAGTTCTTGCGTTGGAACGTTTACTCTTTTGGATGACTTTTCTTATAATTTCGGCGATATGATTGTTCCAGATTCGGTTGTCACTAATGTTTAATGCCAGCAATTTAACGTTGTTTACAACTTCTATGCATTTATTCTCTACTGTAATTGGAGTGAAAACAGGAGGGTTCTGCGAAAATGAAATTCGTAGCTCCGTGCATTTATCAGATTTAATTGCATTCGTTTTATATTAGACCATTCAGATATTTCATCCGCTATTACTTGAGCTTCACTACAATCGCCTTTTAATACAACTTCTGAAGCCGTGGTGTCATCAACGTACTTCCACAGGTTGTCATCATTCCTTGATGGGGGTACATAACCCCATTCGTGGGGTACATAGAAAAGCAACAATTTCCCAACTTTTAAGTTTTTAACTTTTTTTTCTCCAAAGTTGCAGAAGAATGCGTGGTGAATAGTTACGTTAAACCTGCTGTCTTGAAGATCATCGACACTAACCAGTTTGGTGCACTCCCTAAATCCTCAACCACACTTGCTTTATTAGACATGATACATCATTGGATGTAATGGTTCATGGAACAGGAGCAACTATCAGAGTAATTCTTTTTGATTGTAAAAAAGGCATTTGACCTTATTGATACTAGTATCCTGAAAAGTGAGCTATGTGCATTAGATCTACCTAATCGCATCATTAACCGGATCATTGACTTCTTATCGAACAGATATCAAAAAGTTAAAACCCGAGATTTATAATAGTAGAGACCTTACGATTTAGGATGGCCAAAACAAACTCCTTCAAATAAATGGTAGTAAAGATAATTCGTCGTACAATATTATCAATCGTATGAATTTAATACAGTCTTAGAAGTTGAAGACATGGGTTTAATGGTTGGGAAGAGTTCTGCTAAACTCTGTTTGAAGTTGCACTTGTTGCGGTTTGAAATGCAGCCGTGTATCAAGACGTGAAAATATGTGATTTGGCGTTGTAAACAGAGCGAAGAACAATGTCTAAATTATTCATATATTGTAATTATTCAATTGTTTTCAATGATTTATTGTATTGGTAGCCGTTGCGTTGCCGTCCTAAATCGTAAGGTCTCTAGTTTGATTACAGACTTTCCTTTCTCGATTTATTTTATTTCTAAAGAATTTGAAATTAGCTGAGTCCCGGCCATAGGTGGAGAACACTTTCTGTCTCTTGTCAATTAGATGGCTCGTTATCCAAGGAGCGTTTCACCAGCATTAGTAATTTTACCCCCGTAAGGACGATGTTTTGAAACGTGTTCTTTAAGTGTTCACGATCATACAGGGGTGTGAAGATTAGGAACAAGTCGATTGAATTGAAATATCTTCCTAATGCTGCTTTAGAGCTTCGATGGATACTTCACTTATGTAAAATAGTTGTGGAGTAGGAGTCATTAATTCTATTCTTTGGTGAAACAGTAATAGTGTTGTGATTAGATAGTCCAAAGGAGGGAAAAGATTGAGGTGCATCGTAATAATCGTACAAATTTGTTAAAATAATGTCAAGGATGGCGTTTCTGCGGGTTGGCGTCTGAACAATTTGCTTTTGCCGAAAGTGATTTTTAATTTGGCGGTTAAAGTCCCTAGAAACAAAATTGCACAGTTTAGGAATCTTAATGACTCAACAATTCTAAGTGATCGAAATAAATGGTCTTTCATACAGTAGAGTATTCATCTGCACTTGGTGGGTGGTATACAATAGCTACAATAATGCAGGAAAACGTGCGAGGAATGCGACCTCAGATAAAATTTCGTGATCAGGACAGCATGAAAAATCTGAAATCAGTTTAATTAAAGTTAAAATCGCTGTCTTTAATGTGTGCACACACCCCGACATGGCTTTTATTAATTCTGTCCCTACGTACAATTGTAAACCCTGGGATGGTCACCACGCTGTCAGAAATTGAGTCTTTCAGCCAAGTTTCAGTAATAAATGCCAGGCTAATTTGGTTACGGAAAATAAATTATTGGACTTCGTCAACTTTTGGGACGAGGGACATGACATTCGACAGCATTAATTTCGGGAACATATTCTAGTGTAGCTACTTTTCCAACAGGAATTTTATTAGGTTACAATCGGGCCTTCTGCGCACACTCCAGTTTTTCTTATAATGGTTGTGGGATGAATTACATCAACGATTCATAATTTCCAGTCCATTTCAACCGATTTTTGTTATAGTTTATGTCGTTAGACTCTTTAAAGCGAAACAAGTCTTCCAGATTCCGACCACAAGCATAATTATCTTCTAAAGGTTCTGAGCATAATGTAACACGTCCTACTGCCTGTGGTACGACTTGACTCGATCCATCCCCAGACCCGCCCACACTCTAAAAACTGGTGTGTAATTTTACACACCAAATTGTGTATAAATACACACCTTTTCGAAAAAAGGTGTGTATAATTACACATCTTTTGCAATATGGAAGGCAAGGTGTGTAATTATACTGCTACAATATAGGAGAATTCCCTATATATAAATGCTTCCCTTTTATTAGCCCCTCCACTATAAAACCCGAAATCAATAACTCCTTCTGTATTAAGTTCACTGCTTAGGGGCTTTGGGGGTACAATCGTCAGAGCAAGCATTGTTCACCTCTGAGATTGTGGGTTCGATCCTCACATTGAACTAATGACACTTGTGTGAAAAGAGTTGGCCAACACTCTACCAAAAGTCTGGTTTCCTACCACAGGGAATGTTGACAGGGTTGGGATTAGCCACCGTGATCAGACATGAGTCATATAAGGTGGTTGCCAGAGTGTCCTTAGTGAGCCTTCGACTCGATCAGGTTGAGCTACGTCCTTCGCAATTCGGCTCAGCTCTCAGCTGCAAGTAAGCATGATTAATAGCTAGTACATGCAAGCAAGGATGATTAGATCCTAATTCCATTCCTAGTACACCCCCAATTACTCACTATTAAATTAATGGATTATTGGAGGTTTTTGTAGATGGAAATTTTGAGTGTACATTTTATACATTTATTAGACCTAACGTAAACCAGGAGCGGTTGCAAAAGAATGCAACTGTATGCCCTCTGGTAGGAATCAGACATGTGACCCTGTGAATGCGATTCCAGTGCAGCGCTCTAAGGGGTGGACCATTAGATATCCTGGGAGGGGGGAGGGAAAATTTTCCCTACAAGAATTTTTTTAGAGTTCGAAACTTTGTCGGAATTTTTTTCGGAGTAGAAGCTGTGCCGAAATTTTTTTGAAAGGCTTTATACCTACCTTTTTCCTCCGTCTACCGATAGAGAAAAAATGGCGGCAATGTAGCCAAGCAACTATATTGGCACGAATTTTCCGTATTGAGCAATCATATGAAAATTTAATATATTACAAAAAAATACGTATCATAGAAGGTGTCAGTTTCATAGAAGGTATCAGTTTCATAGAAGTGCAAAGCATAAATACAAGAAACACTTGAACATTCTTTTGCAATTTCTTGCGTGGAAATTAGTAAATTCCAGAACCACTGTTCAATCTCATATTTGAAAAAAAACTTCTGGTTCCACCCCTATTATTGTATTAGTCCGTTTAATATTAATGATAATAATAATATTTAATATTTATACAGGAATGCTTATTCAGTGAAAATTCACTGTTATCAACTAGGGTCCTGTCGTTAGGTTAAAAATTGTTCTAAAAAAAAGTTACAGTATATACATATATATATATATATATATATATAAACTATGCTATCCTAATAAGGGTATATACAGAATATAACTAGGATACCAAAAGGTAGCGAAGTGCTGCCGTTGATCTCCTCATAGGGAAATAATATGCCTTAATATAGAAGTGTTACGTCACACAGTTTTGCATCTAAATACTAGGTATATATTTTCCTACATGTTTCTCAAATTGCATTGTTATTGCATGTTACTGGTATTTGAAAGGCCATTTGTTGTGTAAAATCATAGACAATCAAACAGGCTAAATATAAGAAAATTTCCCCTTCTTTTTCTCTTTTGTACATATAGTATATATGAAGTCAAAACTTTCTGATGTTACATTGATTGACTGTAAATAATTTAAACCTAATAAAACACATTAAACACTCCTGCTCGTTTTTTAAATAGTACATCGTTGCCAGAGATTTGCCAGGCGGAAAACGAATTCTTGTGATAAATATGAGAGCCCAACATATAAATTTTAACAAAGCCATTAAAACAGTTAAGATTTTAAAGAATTTTTATTGTAACGTTTCGTCTTTAACTTAAGACATCTTCAGACTAGATAAAATTACATGAGATTTGAATATATATAAGCTAATTATA